GTGTGTGTATGATCTAGGATCCACAAGTGAGAAAAAAAAAAAAAACCTGTCCGAGTTCATGTAATGTGATAATGTCCAATTGTTCCCATTTTTCCAGCAAACTATAATTCCATTCTTCCCTACGCCTGGGTAAAATCCTTTTGTATAATATACCTCATTTGCTTTAATCACGCGTGTGAGGATGAACACCTGGGCTGGTTTTATATTTTGGCTTTTGTGAGTAGTGAGGCTGTAAAGAGGGGTGTGCAGGTATCTGGTGTGTTGAGTAAGAGTCCTCTGGGTTTATTCCTTGGAGCGGTGTGTTGGGTCCAATGGTAATCTGTTTGGGTTGTGTGAGGCACCTTCCTCCTGGTCCTCCTAGTAGCCAAATCAGTTTATGTTCCTGCCAGCCATGGATAAAGGCTGTGACCTTCCCAGCATCCTTTGCCAGCACTTTCTCCTAATGATAACCATTTGTCTAGAATCTAGTGCATTCTAATTTTTATGTCTTCTGCAGCTGAAGACCTTGGACTTTTTCTTTCCCATGTTTCCTGGTCATGATTTGAGAACCATCTATTATATTTCTTGTATTGGCCCTGTATTATTACTTTTTGTGTATGTGTATACTTCATGTGTGTGTACACATGTGTGCAGGTGTATGCCCAAGGGTTGCATACGTGTGTGGAGGCCAGAGGTCAATGTTGTTTGTTGTTGTTGTTGTTATTGTTGTCATTATTTACAGGATCTTTTGCTGAACTTGAAGTGATTGATTCAGCTAGCCTGGCAGGTCGGTGAGCCCATAGATTCTCTTGTCTCTGCTCCCCAGCGCTGATGCCCACATGCTGTTGAGCTTGGATTTTATGAGTGCTGGGGACCTAGGGCTCCTGCTCACATTCTCATGCTCATGTGGAAAGTACTTACTGCAGGAATCCTCTCCTCGCTTCCAAGCCCAGCTGTTAATTGGCTTCTTTGGGTAATTAGGGTTTTTCTTTTTCTTTTTAGTTACTTATATATTCTAGGTATTAATCCTCTGTCCAAACATACTTTAGAGTAGTAGTTCTCATCCTTCCTACTGCTTGTGATCCTTATGTTGTGGTGACCCCAACCATAAAATTATTTCACTGCTATTTCGTAATTATAATTTTGCTACTGTTATGAATTGTAATGTAAACACCTGATACGTGCCCCACAAAGGGGTTGTGACCCACAGGGTTGAGAACAGTCGCTTTAGGGAAAGGCAGTGCTGGAAAAGCTGGACGGCCACGTGTGAAACACTGCAGATTAAAGTCCCCAAAACTAATAGAGGAAAGAGTAGAGAGGAAAGACACAGACTCTGAGAGCAACTGCACTGGCTCAGGAGATAGCCCAGAATTAACAGACAAGAGTGCACAGCACTAAGTGTTGCACAGTAAAGGAGACAGTCCCCAGAAGGAAGAGCCACCTCCACCAAGGAAGAAAACTGCTGCTGCAGGTTTGTTTTCAGTGCATATCGAGCATGCTCTCTGGCCTCAGCAATCCTGGGCATGGTGACTGTGCAGAACGGGGGGCTGGGGTTCCACTTCATACAGAGGTGTGCAAGCAATCCCTGGGGGTTGGGTTTGAATCCTGCACACTGGCATCAAGTGTGGCCATCCGAGTGTGTGCAGAGACAGTGGCCGAGGGAGGACCTGGTCAGTGAGGGAACCTGTAGCGTCTCCAGGTTTCTTGTGAAAAGCCTGGGAAGGCTGTGATTAAGTGTACAGAGGGCTGTCATGTCAGGAGAAAGTAGTTCTGAGGACCGAGTGTACAGCAATAGCATTCGGGTGTTCCCAGAGGGCCAGACTCCGTGTAACATAAGCAGGCTGCTTCTAGCAGAAGAGTTTGGAGAGGGACTGGAGTCTCCTGGGAAGCTCAGTCCCCACCGCTCATTTCCCCTGACACATTCCAGCGGGGACCACATGTCATTGCCATGAAGAGGCATGGCAGAGTGTGGAGGGGACTCAGAAGGGTTTGATTTGGAGGCCTCTGACTGTGAGGCCTTGAACTCAACATCACAGCCCTGATTTCCTCATCCGCTGCAAGGCTGAAGACTCTACAAACACTGTTCGTTCTCTTCTGTGCTTTCTGCAGGGAAGTTGCTGCGAGACCCTCTTGTCTTGCATTATTGGTTCACATTGGTGACTAAGCCTGAAGGCTGTGGGGATCTTTGGCCCGGAGTTGTTGTGCTGACTGTGTAGTGAGACCTTTTCTCAGTGGCCTGCCTTCCTCTTGTGTCTTCTTTTGTTAGCTCCCCTCTGCTAGCTCAGACCTGAGGTTCCTTGAGTCTAATAATATGGTTTTGGTGGTATGGTCATCTCTAGTGAGCCATCTCGTTGTTAAAGGGTATTTTGAATACCACTATTGATATTTGTTAAATCCTTACATCTGGTGTGTCTGAATCTTGCCTGTGTTCTCAAAGTGTAACCTCCCACTTTTTTCATGTATCTAATGATTTTGGTTTGGTTTGGTTTGTGTGTCTTTGTGTGTGGTGTGTGTTGTGGGGGTGGAGGTGTACGATGGGGCTAGAACAAGACCTCTGGCCTGCATCACTCTGCAGTATCGCCTTCAGACAGAGTCTCTCTTTGAACCGGAGCAGTTTACCCTAGGCTGGCTAGCCAGCAAGCTTTTATATCCTACATGTCTCCTCTCCTGGGACACGTGCAGCCAGGCCTGGCTTTCTACCTGGGTGCCAGGGATTCCAGTTCAGGTCCCTGCAGTCACTGAACAAATGCTCTTACCTATGGAGCTATAATTTTTTTCTTTCGGTCTTATTTCTTTGCAAAGTTAAAAACTCAGAACCCATAGGGATATCCAGGGGGAATCTGCCTATCTAATCGTAGTGTTTTCTCAGATGTACCTGATTTGGACTGAATCTTCCCTCTCCAAGCCTGCTCTAGGGAGCAGTAGACAGGGCATCCCTGGGATCCTCGGACCTTCAGACTCCGCCCCAGCTATTGCACCAGAATCCACATTTTAACAGTGGAACTTCCTCTTTGGGCGGAATGCTCAGAATCTGGCTAAAAGTCAGTGTTCCACCTCTTTGTTTGCTTTCCAGTACTTGTTAAAAAGCGCCTGGCATCGTGACAGGATTCTCTCACACTCATGGGGCCATTTAATCCTCAGGACAAGTCACTAAAGAAGGTGTTATTAAAACTAAGAAGACATGTCACTGGGCCTGCCAAAGATGTCAACAAAGTGACATTTTCTAGAGCCTGTGTGTCTCAAGTCGGAATGTTGAGGCCTGCTTGTCTTCGACGTGCACACCCTGTGCTTCCGGGTAGAACCAGGTGCTCTGGAAGGATTGCAGAGGCAACGGATGCTCCGTTCCAGTGCTGGCAACAGTACACCCAGGGCCTCATGTCACATCTGTACCGTGGCCTGCCAAAGCATCAACCAGAAAATAGCTCAGGGAGTTGCCTGCCACAATATAAACTCTTATTAGTCTACCTGTCTGTCCATCCATCCAAACATCATCCATCCATCCATCCATCCATCCATCCAAACATCATCCATCCATCCATCCATTCAAACATCATCCATCCATCCATCTATCCAAACATCATCCATTCATCCATCCATCCATCCATCCATCCATTCAAACANAACATCATCCATTCATCCATCCATCCATCCATCCATCCATTCAAACATCATCCATCCATCCATCTATCCAAACATCATCCATTCATCCATCCATCTATCCAAACACCATCCATCCATCCATCCATCCTTCCAAACATCATCCATCCATCCAAACATCATCCATCCAAACATCATCCATCCATCCACCCACCACCCATAAGTGTGTACTTCTCTTTTTTAAAACCATATTATTCAAAATAATAGATGGTTACTAGAAACCAGTTTTGACTGATGCCCTCTGAAGCCTGCACCATATACTATTTTCTTGGGTTCTTCTCCACAGGAAGTGCAGTGGATGGTAGAAACTGATCTTTAATTGTGGGGTATTGTTCTGTTTCCCTGCCTGACTTGCCTTTTGTCTCCTTGGATGTCCAAGCCTACAGCTGTCCCCTTGACACCTGAAAGAGTGACCCTGGTAGTGTGCTCACGATGACTGGTAGTGTGCTCATGATGACTGGTAGTGTGCTCACAATGATTCTGGTAGTGTGCTCATGATGACCCTGGTAGTGTGTTCACGATGGCTGTGGTAGTGTGTTCACGATAACCCTGGTAGTGTGCTCACGATGACCCTGGTAGTGTGTTCACAATGGCTGTGGTAGTGTGTTCACGATAACCCTGGTAGTGTGCTCACGATGACCCTGGTAGTGTGTTCACAATGGCTGTGGTAGTGTGCTCACGATAACCCTGGTAGTGTGCTCACGATGACCCTGGTAGTGTGTTCACGATGGCTCTGGTAGTGTGCTCACGATGACCCTGGTAGTGTGCTCACGATGACACTAGTGTGCTCACGACTCTGGTAGTGCACTTACGATGCTTCCTCTCACTGGGAAGCATTTCAAGTTTTCCTGGCATATGAGATCCAGGGAACTGTCTCCTAGGGCATAAAACACTAAATGTTACAATTAACATTTAGGAAAATTAATTCTCATGATTAAAGAAAAACTAATACAGCAATTGGAATTTATGTATTTCCATGTTTGTCATTTTTTTCCTTTATCTACCTACTTTGTACTTAGATTGACCTAAAAATAAAGGAACATTCTAAACCCTACCAAGCCAATACTGTCACAGGTTTTTCCATTTCTGTGTGAGTGTGTGTGTGTATACATATAGATGTATTTTTTTTTTAAATCGAGGGCCATGTTGTGCTTCTGAGTCCAGCCCCACTTGGTGGCACTTTGGTTTCCCTTTAGATATTATCCCATATTCTTCTTTGCCACTGACATTGGCTTATTCCATATGAATGCCTGATAGATTAAATACATATGCATTTAAAATATTGTTTTGATTTGTTTGCAAGTTGTTTCTCTTAAAGGGTCTATCTGGGGAGATGTGTAATTTCTCATATACTGTGCTTACAGGAAGAATTTTAAATCGTTTCTCCAAAGACATCGGACATATGGATGACTTGCTCCCCCTGACGTTTCTTGACTTCATCCAGGTATGTAAAATCATGTCGTGTTTTCAAACGCAGAACTGAAGGCCCTGGTTCTTCTTTTCCAGGGCCTTTCCGTGAGGGGAGGAGGGTGGCAGTGGGGCTGTGGGGCCGGGAGGTGTGTAATGTTCCCTTAGAAAAGGCCGTGTTTGTAGAAGAAAGGCGCGGTTGTGATTCGGAGGCTAGCTAAACGTGAGTAATGTGTGTGTAGGTGTGGCTGTGCATGCGTGTCAGGGTTGGTTCATGGCAGCCACATGCTGGTAGGTGGCTCTCCGTCTGCCTCCCAGGTATCTGGCGTGGATTTGACTTACTGTGAACACATTTCATAATATAGAAACAATCACCTCTCACGGAAAGATAACCCAGATTAACTAAATTATGCATTGTATTGCTACAAAGGGCAAATATTTACTGCACCGGTTTTTTTTTTTTCTGCTTTTTTTTTTTTTTTTTGTGGAGGAGGTGGGGTAAAACCAGGTGTGGTTTCTTACAAAGAAGAGATTAGCAATAATAAGGTGCAAATAATACTTTGTTAGCAAGGACAATAGGAGAGCGGTTATTGCAGATTCAAAGCCTTAAATGCAGGCATGGTTAAGCCAATAATAGGAGGACAGGATCAAAGTCTTCTCAGAAAAGGTCCTTTATGTTTTCCTAGGCAACTTTTCCACATTGATTACTCTGTCTTAAGGTGTCTTTAAAGAAAAAGAAAGAATCCCACAGAAATGCCTCCTCCGACATGTTTTGTCTGTGAACTTGAGGCCCAGAGGAATCATGTTGGGTCACCTCATCTCTCATCTCCTCATTCAGTGTTGTTGCTCCTTGTGGTTTTATCTGTTTTGTTTTGATTTCTTCTGTCATTTAATTCTGTCTACTTTTCAGTGACTCAGGCAGGGGATCTTTTTGTTTTCCCCTGAGCGTTTATTTTGGAGAAGAGACACATCCATCAAAGGCTCTGCATACACTCAAATCCCAGCTGCTTATGGCTCCTTGCCTCGAGACCGGACCCTTTTCAGTCTCCTAACTGCTAGTTCACAGCTGTTCCTTCCGGAAGCCAAGCTGTAGGCAGGAAGTGGCAGCAGGGTCTTCAGTTTCCAGTCTTGCTGGGCCCTTCCCCTTTCTTCTGAGCCAGTCACTCAAGTCCAAGCTTAGGTTCGCTTCTGGAACCACTGATCTAAAGAACTGAATGATTGTCTAATGTGGAAAATTAGCTCTGCCCCACCCCCCACCAAAAAGAATCAAGAGTGGGCTACAGTGGTTGCTGGCATCCCTGTCAGTCACCCAGAAAGGGAGCCCAGGCTCTCTGATTGCGAGCTGCGTGGCCCATAGGTGAAGACCCTCCCTTCCCACTCCCCTGGGGCTCATGGGTGAAGTCTCTGCACCACAGATCAACGCACCAGACTTTTTTGCTTCTGTGAACTTGTTTTTAAAATGAGTCTTCCTGGATTTAGCTATGTTCTCTATCCCCTAAAAGCAACTAGAGAGTTGTCTCCCTTATTCAGTAGGATACAGATAACTTTAAACACATGTTTTGACAGAGATTATTAATTCCTTCTAGAAGCATTTGCAGAGGGTTCTGTCTCTCCACGATCACGAGCTAGGCCAAGGTTGAGTTTTCAGAGCTGACTGGCCCACCGTGTGTTTAGCAGGGTGAGCCTTCCTAATTAGAATCCCTCGTGTGGTTCTGCATCGCCTGTGGAGGGATACAACTGATTCTCGGTGTCAGTAGAAAACGTTCTCAGCATTGCGAGGAGAGAAAATTCTAGTCTTGTTGTACTTCAGTTGGACCAGCTGTTCCAGGGTCTTTACCTATTACCCACACACACAATCTTGGGACACTAATTAACCATTGTTAATTACTTTTGGTGCCCATTAGTCCATTTCTAGAATCTACCAGAAGAAGGTGAGTCTTGATGCTGGTGTCCCTGCAAAAGGAGTTTCACATAAAGGATAACTCGGCCATGGATCAGGATCCAGCTCTGTTACACACACACACACACACACACACACACACACACACACACACACACGTGCTTGCAGGTGTCTCTCCTGAGCCTTCCATAATCCTTTCAGGAAGGAATATTTTCTCCTTTTAAGAATAGTGTTAGCTCCATATAAAAGCCCTGATCCTCTGCCATTGTTCTCGCCCCTTTGAGAGACAGTTCCCGACACTCATTGTTTAAATGGCTGTCAGGAGGAATCAAATAAAACTTGGTAAATGGACAGCAGCCTTCCCTGGGAGGCTGATGATGGACTGGGCTGCTCGTGAAGAGCTGCTGTGATCATTTGGAAATATTTGGTGCCTGTTGCTGTATGATCGAGGGAAGATTTTTATGAAAGACACACACACACACACACACACACAATGAATTTAACCTACCCTCAAAGAAAGGCCAACAAAAATCTAAATGTAAATTGATTTTTTTTTTTCTTTTTAAGCCAGATAGGACTCTGCCAGTAGGAAAACTGCCCAGTGGTGTTCTGGGACTCTTAATGGAATCATGTAAACTTAAAATAAACACTATTATGGTAAGCACATAGAATGAAAACTAATTTTCCAAATCAAATACATTATATTCAATTCATTTTCCCCAATCAACCAAATGTTTAAAACCTGTTAGTTATAACAGCAATCTCCTAGAAATTAATTAGAAGCCTATTAGCTCTGCTAGCTGAGGCGGATGGCAGGGGGGTTGCCCCTTACATTCCTAAGCAGTCTCCAGAATTGAACTGCAGCAAGGTCAAAATGACAGTCAGCCTCCCTCACCCTCAGGCTGGCCTCGGGCTGGAGCTTCTAGGGTGCTGGTGGCTATTTGGGGGGTGCTTTTCACAACATTGTGTCTACTCTGCCTCAACCCTTTAACACCCGTTTAAACATTTGGACTAAGAATGTAGCTCTCCTGACCTTGCATTCCTGAGACCCTGGGTTCCATTCCTTGCACCACTAAAACAAACAAAAAAAGAACAATAACAATAGCAAAGAAATTTGAGAATTAGCCACCAGCTAAACCATTCAGTCAGGAGACCATTGCCTTTCAATAGCAGCACCTGCTCCCTTCTGTAGACTCTGAGGTGTGTGCAGTTTCCTGGGTCCCCTGAACTTTTTTTTTTTTTAACCTTCTCTCAAAATTGACCTTAGTAGCAAACTTCCTGTCTGCCTTTGTTCTTAATGTCATTACTGAACCCTGCTGCTGACTTCAGGAGGCTGCAAGCCTTGATGTCTCTCATCAGATCCTGGAAGTCATTACCGCTCCTCCTATGCACCGGGAGTTTCCCAGGATGCTCCTGTGCTCAGCTTGGCTGAAGCAGTTGAGTTCAGATGGAGCTGGAGATGAGGCAGTGGCCCCAGAGTGAAAACCCCAGTCCACAGGAGAAGTGATAGAAAGCCAAGCAAGGTTCAGATAAAGACTGCTTGGCTCCTAGTTTTTCCTTACAAAAGATAGGCATACAGACATGCTTTACTGGGCATAAGATCCATCGCTACAAGTAAATAACGTAATGACAGCCATTCCTGTGAACTGCTTGATCCCGAGCCATCAGCTTCCTGAAAGATGATGACAGTTGAGTTGGTTTTGTAAGCCAGTTCAGGACTTAAGTTTCCCCCTGCGTGTGATGCTGAGGAATGGAAGGGGTGGGGCCTGAGGACAGGACCCTCCATCTGTGGCAGGGGCCTAGAGTCCGTGTGCTCTGAGGAACTCAGTCAGAAGTCTGGGCAGAGATCTGTCATGCCACCGCAGGGATGTGCAGGAAAGTCTGTTTAAAATGTGAACAAAGTTCCTGGCCATATTGAAGTCTAATTTTGTCCTTCAGGCTTCAAGGAAAGATTGGTATTTCTGTGGACACGGACCGGGTTTGTTTTAAAGTGTTAGCTGTTGGTATTTTATAGTGATGGCACACGGCAATGTCACACCCGTTTTCTCAAAGCTCACGCATCTTTGTGAGATGTTTGACTGGAGGAGGGCTGAGAAGAGACGTCTGGAAGACCAGTCTCTTGGTGCATACACGCGTGTAGTGACTAGACAGAAAATAGACACAGGAGGACAGCTCTGTTCCTTTTAACTGACAAGCTGTTGCAAGGCATAGAACAGAGCCGAAGGGCATTTTGAATAAGGTATAAATACAAGATTAGAAATAATAATGTGAAATACAAAGCTATATCAGAGTTGCTGATGGCTGGCAGCTTACCTCTGGCTTAGGAAGTATTGTTCAAAAGTATTTTACTTTTTCAGGAGATTGTGACCCCTTTGAGTATAAACAGGATTTCTAAAGCCAACTCCTCTATCAAGACAAAATAGTTTTCTGCAGGTTAAAACTAGGTGGTATTGAAGAAATAGAAAAATTAAAATATCAATGCCATCTGACCATCTATCCCTCAGATGAGAAACTGAGCAGAGACAACAGTCTCCGAGCAGGAATTTGACCTTCAGAAGATGAATGTATTGGTAAACTAGCTGAGTGTGTGTGTCTGTGTGTTTGTGTGTGTGTGCATGCACACACACGTGTGTGCGCCCATGTGTATGCGTGTGTATGTATGTGTGCCTGTGCGTGCGTGTGCATGTATGCCTATGTGTATGCATGTGTGCGCCTGTGTGTGTGCCTATGTGTGTGTATGCGTGTGTGTATGCATGTGTGTATGCCTATGTGTGTGCCTATGTGTGTGTATGCGTGTGTGTATGCCTGTGTGTGTGCCTATGTGTGTGTATGCATGTGTGTATGCATGTGTGTGCCTATGTGTGTGTGTATGCGTGTGTGTGTGTGTGTGTATGCGAGCGCACAGACGGACAGAGAAGGTCACTAACCCACAGGTTTAACTCTGATTCCTTATGATCGGCACATTTCAGTAGCATTACTTTAGTTTGTTTTATTTCTTAATACAGATTTTATCTTACTGTGTGTTTGTTCTCTTGAGTGTCACATGTGGAAGGCAGAGGCGAGCCTGTGGGAGTTAGTTCTCTCCTTACACCACGTGGTTCCTGGGGACCAGTTCGGGTCATCATGCTTGGTGGCAA